ATTGGGAGAAGATCTTCACTAGCCATACAATGGACAAGGGTCTCATATCTAAAATTAAATCCCCCAACAAAAAATCCTCAAAGAACAACTGTCCAATAAATAAGTGGGCTAAAAACTTAAAGAGAAACTTCTCTGAAAAGGAAAGAAGGATGTGTCTATTGAGACACATGAAAAAATGCTCAACCTCCCAAGCCATAAAAGAAATGCAAATCAGACACAGACTAGACAAGCAGAAATGGTCAGATAAATTGATGTTAGATGAAATGAACCCCAGGATAAGGACTCAAATGGATTTTCTTTCTTGTGATTGTTTCTAACATATTTATAAGATGATTTTTTTTGTTGCTTTGTATGTCCCTCCCGCACAGTATAACCCCTGTTTTCACTGTAGTTGATGTTGGTATAATTTGTGGAGGGGAAGAAAAAAAACAAATTGTTTAAATAAGGATACAGGTGGACCCATTGCAACAATGAGATGTACAACACGTTATGTCGAAAAACAAACTTTACAATTTTGTCGGGTGGGGGGAGGGGGGAAGGGGAGAGAGAGGGGGGAGGAGGGGGAAGAGAGATGGGAAGGGATGCAAAATTCCCAGGAAACAAAGGAGGGGGCAAAAATGCTTGATAAGAAATGTACTCATAAGACCTCCAATACTCTTGGATAGGCAGACTTAATATAGTGAAAATGGTAATACTGCCAAAATTGATATACAAATTCAATGCAATTCCTATTAAAATCCCAATGGTGTACATCACTGAAATACAGAAAACAGTCCAAAAATTCATATGGAACAACAAAAGACCTAGAATAGCAAAAACAATTCTAGGGAATAAAGACAACATGGGAGGGATATACATGCGAACTTCAAACTCTACTATAGAGCTATAATAACAAAGACAGCATGGTACTAGCACAAAAACAGACCCGAAGACCAATGGAACAGAATAGAAGATCCAGAAATAAATCCACAGGCCTACAGCCAGCTGATATTCGACAAAAGAGCCAAAGACATACAATGGAAGAAACACAGACTCTTCAATCATTGGTGCTAGGAAAACTAGTCGGCCACCTGCAGAAAACTAAAAGTGGACCCCAGCCTATCACCATGCACCAACATCAACTCAAAATGGATTAAAGACCTTAACATCAAACCTGAATCTCTGAAACTACTGCAGGACAGAGTAGGAGAGACACTTGAACTAATAGGCACAGGAAAGAACTTCCTGAACAGAGTTCCCAGGGTCACAACAAATTGGAGAGAGACTGGACAAATGGGACTACCTTAAAATAAAAAGCTTCTGCACAGCTAAAGCTATCGCAACCAAGCTAGAAAGACAACCAACTAATTGGGAAAAAATATTTACCAGCAATATATCAGACAAGGGGTTAAATCCTGTATATACAGGGAACTCAAGAAACTAATCCCTCCCAACCTAACAAACCAATTACTAAATGGGCAAGGGAACTAAAGAGAGACTTCTCAGATGAAGAAATAAAAATGGCAAAGAAACACATGAGGAAAGGTTCATCATCCCTGGTGGTGAAGGAAATGCAAATAAAGACAACCCTGAGATACCACCTTACCCCAGTCAGAATGTCCCACATCCACACGTCAGCCAACAACAAATGCTGGAGGGGATGCGGAGAAAGAGGAACCCTATTACACTGCTGGTGGGAATGTACACTTATACAACCACTTTGGAAAGCAGTCTGGAGGGTCCTCAGAAAGCTAAAGATTGACCTCCCTTATGCCCCAGTCATACCACCTCTAGGCATCTACCTTGAAAAACAGGAACCAATATACAAGGACACGTGCACCTCCATGTTTATTGCAGCACTGTTCACAATAGCTAGGATACGGAAACAACCCAGATGCCCCACCACAGATGAATGGATTCAAAAATTGTGGTATATATACACAATGGAATATTATGCAGCCATTAGAAATGACAAAATAATGGCATTTGCAGGGAAATGGATGGAGCTAGAAGAAATCATGTTGAGCTAGGTAAGCCAAGAGCAAAAAGACAAACGGTACATGGTCTCCCTGATAAGTGGATGTTAAATCCAAAATGTTAGGTAATACGACAAAATTAACAGGACTTAAGAATCAAAGAACTTCCACTCATCTGGTCAAACCACTACTAAATAACCCCATGCTGCTGATCACATGTATAGTGTATATGTGTACACTGTTATATGTTATAGACCGTGATAGACAATTTGCTCCAGGAAAGTTAGAATGAGTTTGTGACTTTAAATGAGCATCATTATCCCACAATACTGGGAAATTTGGGGAATTATGTAACCACTTAATCACAATAAAAAAAACCACCAGAAAACTAGAAGTGGCACTATGGCTCAAGTGGCAGAGCATGAGCCCTGAGCTGAATGCTCAGGGACAGCTCAAGCCCCACGACTGACAAAAGAGAGAGAGAGAGAGAGAGATCTTTCATGGGATTGTTTCTAACACATTTATAAGATTATGTCTTTGTTGCTTTGTATGTCCCTCCCCCATGGTATAACCCCTGCTTTCACTATATATGATGTTGGTATATGTGGAGGGGAAGGGAAAAAACAAATCGTTAAAACAGGGATACGGGAGGACCCATTGCAACAATGAGATGTACAAGTCATTATGTCGAAAAACGAACTTTACAACTTTGGTGGGGGGAGGATAAGAAGGATTGGGAAGGGGAGACAAAGGAGGAGGCTACAAAGCTAGATAAGAAATGTGCTCATTATTTTACCCATGTAATTGTAACCCCTCTGTACGGTATTTTCACAATTAAAAAAAAAGAAATGCAAATCAAAACAACATTGAGATACCACCTCACCCCAGTTAGAATGGCTAGAATCAAGAACTCTAATAAAAACAGATGCTAGAGCGGATATAGACAGAAGGGAACCCTACTGCATTGTTGGTGGGAGTGTAAACATGTTCAACCACTTTGGAAAGTAGTATGGAGGTTCCTCAAAAGACTCCACATAGAGCTCCCCTATTACCCAGCAATCCCACTCTTGGGCATTTACCCAAATGATCACAAACAATATCATACTAAAGCTACCAGCAAAACTATGTTTATTGCACCATTATTTACCATAGCTAAGATATAGAACCAACACAGGTGCCCCTCAGTAGATGAATGGATCATGAAAATGTGGTACATATACACAATAGAATTCCATGCCTCCATCAGAAAGAATGACATTGCCACATTTGTTAGGAAATGGAAAGACTTGGAAAAAATTATATTAAGTGAAGTAAGCCAGGCCCAAAGAAACACAGGTCCCATGGTTTCCCTTATTTGCAATAACTAGTATGTGTTTGAGACAAGAAGAAACGGTCAGATAAGTTGATGTTAGGTGAAATAAACCCCAAGATAAGGACTCAAATGTTTTTTCTTTCTTGCGATTGTTTCCAACATATTTATAAAATGATTTCTTTGTTGCTTTATATGTCCCTCCCCCACGGTATAACCCCTGTTTTCACTGTAGTTGATATAGGGATACAGGTGGACCCATTGCAACAATGAGATGTATAAGACGTTATGTCGAATAACGAACTTTACAACTTTCGCATGGGGTGGGCGGAGATGGGAAGGGATGGAAAGGGGAAACAAAGGAGGAGGCAACAGTGCTTGTTAAGAAATGTACTCATTACTTTGCTCATGTAATTGTAACCCCTCTGTACAGCATTTTCACAATTAAAAGAAAGCTCATGTCACACAAGAGTCTTAAATATATTAATAGACTTATTTTAAAAAAGATCACTCAGATCTCACATTGTGCAGTTCATTCAGGCTCAGGGTCTAACCTGGTTGGATAGGCAGGTGGATTCCTGAAAGCTGCATTGTGATGTTCATTCCTTCTTGTCTATTACCCCCAATTCCCAAGAAAATGTGCAGATGATGAAACAGATGGCATATCCTGGACAATCACTACCCAGAGTGCCACATGCACTGACCCAAATCTGAGCCTCGAGCTCCACAGGCCTCCTGCTCCTGAACAGGTGCTTGTACTGGGGGTTCAGACTTGCATTTGCTTGAGTACATGACCATGAATTCATGCATGGCACAGTAGGTTGTGACATTAGAGGCTGTTTTGTGAAACTGTGGCAATGTAGGATGCTGTCTTCCCAGTTTGTCTATTCCAGATAGTTTCACTCAAGAAGGAGAGATGCTAAGGCACAACTCATCTACTGCCTGATAAGTATTGGTCAAGAAAATGTCAGGTGGCCTATGAACTTTTGGGAATATCATTGTCCCTACTGAGATCAGACATCTCATTTAGTGAGGTTTTTGTCTGAATGACACAACTTGAACCAACCATTATCCTTTCACACTTTGCTGCAACCCCTAGAACTCTGGACAGGACACCCTTCATGTTGATAGCTTGACTGCATTCCTCGTGTTGTCTAAGTCAAGCCACATCCTTAAACCTTTACAAAGCTTTGGATAAATATTTGAAAGAGTAGTTTGAATATTTCAATCATCACAGTGATCCTAATTTTCCAGATGAGACAAAGAAGGCTATTAAAAAGCAGGAGTCACATGAGATCCCAGCTTCCTTTCCTTTCTAGGATTTACAAAATGGATCTTTCTCTGTGGCTGGTCATCCTTTGCTAGGGAATGGCCTCAGCTGTTCCATTTTTCATCCCACTTTGCATGGGTGGAAGACAAAGAGATGAAAAGCTATAGCACAGTGGGGGTAACATCAAAGTGTTCAGAGAGACCTCAGAGACAAGATGCTTGCTGATGGAACTAATAGCAAGAGAGTAGCTTCCAGTAGCCAGGTCTTAGAAAGGCAGTAACCTAATGCTAGTCATAGAAGCACAATATGGGGAGGCATCCTGCTCTTCTCTGACTATAAAGAATAGCTTCCAAAAGTGCTCTGCATCCTGGCCGGAGTCTCTCTCCAGCTTTTTTGGCACGTCCATTTAGTAAACAGGGCTGGGTTTAAATAGAAAAGGCAATTATTACTTATACTCTTTCCTAAGATGAAGAGGGACAGAGGAAAGTACTATGGGAGATGGGCATGAAAATTATTGAATTTCACAATGCAGAGTACAGCCAAGGGAAACATGGCTTCACCTTGTCGATGAATGCCTTGGTAATTATGGTAAGTGTCATGTGCATTGCTTGCTCTCTTCAGTTCTACACAAAATGGTCTTACTTTTTAATATTTCCTTTACTCTTCTCGGAAGATCACTGAAGAATTCAAACAGGTGAGGTATGTCTTTCAGCCCAATAGGCATAATGAGGGACAGATATATCTGGAACTTCTATTTGGTGAGCTGCTGGTATCTGTGGACTGGAGAGAGAAAAGCTATGTGACTACTGTGCAGGCTCAGGTGTTACACAGTCACAGTAGACCCTTTCACTTCCCACAGGAAATAGTTGTCACTTACCTTTGCAGACTCTGGAGTGACGTGGAGTTCATTTTCCTTTCTGAAGGATGTTCCACCATAGGATCTGATGTCAATGTCTTACTAGTTGTGTTATGCATGACAGATTTTGTTCTCTAATCTGGGTAGGTGCAGTTCTTGTTGGGCTTTTAACAATTGGTGTACTAGAAGGATTGCAAGGTCTGAGAATGCGTCCACCAATGCGGGCTTAGAGTTTCAAGCTGAATGAGGTATTGCAGAAGCTGACCAGCCAGGGACACAGTACAGAATCAGGAGCTAACACTGTGACCCCAAGCATGGATACACTTGAGGCTGACAAAGGCAAACATAGCAAGCAGGTGCAAGCTATGAAGTCCCAGTAATATGATAACATCAACTTTTTGGAAACAGGGGACTTTTACAATGTATTGCATTCCTCAGTTCCCAGTAAGAGGTTATTGCATTCCTTAGTTCATGGTAGAAGGTTAAATTCCTGACTCAGTTTCCTTGCTTGGTCTAGGGGCTTTTTTATCCTAAGAGCCTCTTATAGTCCCTCCTTCTTTTCATAACCTAGTCAAATACTTGATTCTTCTTTATGACTCAGGGGGCTGAACTGGGCCTGAAGGACCATCAGTTTGACAGTCCCAATCCTTCCTCCCCACCATACAGATAAACATAAAGAATTGTAACAATGAGATGTACAAGATACTATGTTGAAAAACAAACTTTACAATTTAAGTGGAAAGGGGGGAGGAGGAGAGGGGGAGAGTGTAGTTGTGGAGGTGGGAGGGAAGGGATGGTAAGGGAAAAACAAATGGGAGGTAACAATGCTTGGTAGGAAATGTACTCATTACCTTGTTATGTAACTGTAACCCCTCTGTACAGTATTTTAAATAAAAAATATATTTTTTAAAAAGAATAGTTTCATATCAGTGCACCCATCCTGACCCTAGGTATATCATAGCCAACTTAATTTCATACCAACTGTATTCATAAGCTCCATTTTTAACACATACTCCTACTATTTGCTGCATACTTAACCTTTCTGAGGTTTGTCTTCTTCCCCTTTTCACTCTGACACAAACATTTTAAGACAACCCTTATTGAAGGACAAAAGTTCCAGAAAACTGCTATCCAATTACCCCAGTGAGCAGAGCCTAGTGAACTGTTCTGGTCCTCAACCCACCTGGGGCTGCAGGCATGATGGACTAGAACTTGCTTTCCAATATGTCAAGGAAAATGGAGGCATGGACTCAGAGGAATCCAACCCATATGAATACAGAGTAATTGCTGCTCTTTAATTTTGTTGGCATTCCCTCTTGGATTGTAGACAATGGACCAACTTCAGAGAAAAGATGCCTTCTTCTGAATTATAGCTTTAGAAGATAGGATCTATTTCTGTCAACTGTCTGATCTGTCACTATCATTCAATAGCCTTTCAGAGTTCTGTGATTTAGCAGTTAGTATATAGGTGATCTTATTTCTGTGTAACATAAAGTATAGTCATGCTATTTTATATCTAATGGATTTGCCAATTGTGAATGATTTGTATGAACACCATTGGTAGAATAACCCATTAAGGAAATATGAGAAGATTTTCAGTTTCAAATCAAGTATTAACATTGTGTGGCCCATGACATAGGGATCTCTACACAGAACACTTATTTTTATTAAGACACCTGTGAATCTTATCTCATCTGTGTCCAGTTTATATCTACATCACTTTGGCAGTTAAATACATGTTCTTTTTTCTTTTTTTTTTTTCTTTTTCTTTTTTATGTCAGTCATGGGGCCTCAACTCTGGGCCTGGGCACTGTCCTTCACCTCTTCAGCTGTAGACTAGCATTCTACCACTTGAGCCTCAGCCCCACTTCCAGCTTTTTCTGCTTATGTGGTGCTGAGGAATCGAACCCAGGGCCTCATGCATGCAAGGCAAGCACTCTACCACTAAGCCACCTTCCCAGCCCCCTAAATACATGTTCTTTACCCAGAGAAAAACCCTCCTGGGTTAATTCCTGCTTTTCCAAAAGGAAGATACAAATTCAATATACCACTGCAATAGGAACTAAGTTCAAAGTGAATGAGAAAAGTATGTTCAATGAATCAGTAGGGTCTATCTCTAGAATATTGGAGGAAAAACTTCAGAGTCCAGAAGAATGAAGAGCGGTTGTGTGCGTGTGCACACATGTTTATCCAGTAGTCATTTAAAAATCATGAGCAATGCCTGGATAGTACTTCTGCTATCATGCCCTCCTCCATTCTGGCTTGACATCCTCCATCTCAGGTCCTTAGCCCCTCCCCCAAAATCAGTTGATCTGGCCAGGCCTAACCACAATTGGCTGTTCTTCCTTGGTTGTTGCTTTCACTTCATTTCCCAGAGTCATATGTTATCTCTATCCTGCAGCTGTAGCCATAAATTGTTGCCCCACCATAAATGGAATTCCTCACCTTCATGTACCTCACTACTCCACAACTCACACAAACCAGACCACAGACAATTCCCTGCCCTCAATCCTCCCCCCCCCCGTTCTATAAGTCAACCTTACACAAAGACAGACTGTTATCCCCACCTGAGAGGGTCAGCTTGCCAGCTTGCTGACATCACACTTTGCTGTACATGACTTAGTAGCCATGTGGTCTTCCAGACTGAGGCACGTTCATTGGTGCCATCACTCAGATCTAAGTGCCCCTAGTGGTCCTTGCTCTTCCCCTCAGGAAATTTGAGCAGATCTAGGGTGGCAAACTCAGGCACTCCCACAGAACCGCTGAGGTGATTGCCTCCTGACTGAGTGCTTTTTCTACATCAACCAGTCACCAATATGACATTTTTTCTGGGTGAGTGACCATTCAATGTCAGAGATTGGAGTTCACAAGGGTGAAAGCCTGGTACTGAGTTCTGAGCCCTTCCTTGGAGGCTTAGGCCTCTAGAAGGTTTGTATAGGCCAAGGGATGGAATAATTGCATGGGGCCGACCCGTCATGTTGCATTCCTTTGTGTTCAGGACCCAGCAATTGGGGGTGACAATCCCTCTGCTGCCTGCTCCCTCTGTTAGTTGACCAGAGTCCCAGTGGGCATGCCCATGGATCTCTAGCATCAACTCTGCACACTCACCATGGGAGGGGCCCAATCCCAAATACCTCGGATTCTCCTCTGGGCTGCCTTTTACACAACCTAGAGGCCCTTAAGCTTCTGCCTGATGTTAAGCCTCATGAGCTTATACACTTGCATAATCAAATTGAGCTCCAATATTCATTCTACAATGATTACTTGTGGTCTTTTCATGGGACACTGGACACCAGTACTTTATGGGACCTATATAATTTCTGCAAGCACTCAGGCAAATGGAAGGAAACTTTCTATGTACAAAGCTTTTCCTCTCTCTCTGCCTCTGTGATTGTGCCCTTGAGAGTTGGGACAGGGGCAGGGTCATAGGGACCCCAACTCTGGTTCCCTCTCAATGCTAGCCATACTGGCTTAATGTTTTTTTAGCTAAAACTATGTCTCTCCATGCCCCCCTCTTCTTTCCTGGTCCTTTTTCAACTTTTGTTCCAATAACTACATGTTCTCCCTTTGCATTTCAGTAAACTGTCTGTCCTCTTTAAGAAAATTCCTCCTGTGTATGCCTTCTTGTGTAGCTGGCCCAATGTGGGGTGGTTGCAAGACTCAAAAGATAAAGCAGCTGCGTCTTTAAATGTAGTCACTGCAACAAGCTAACCACCCTGCTTGAACTCCATCACTGACAGATGCTGGCCAGCAAACACATAGGGGCCAGGTTCTCCTTTTTACTTCTCTCTCCTTTTCTCACCCAAAATCCCATTAGGGGAGAACTTTAGATATCATGCTTAAAATAAACCAGTCCCTTGTTCTTTCCTGAGTCTAATCATTTCAGAATCTAGATGCTTAATATCTCCTTTCAGGCAAAACTCCTCTAGGAATTTACTATAGACTCTAGGAAGAACTCGTCTCTCCACGCCAATTCTCTACAGGCCCTGGAGATCCACACCCACCTAAGAAGAGAGAGACAAAGGCCCCACGGTGGGTTTTCACATGATCCCACTCTTCCACCAAGCTTACTCCTTCTTCATTCCTGTAGGTATTTAAAGGTCAATTTATATGCTAATATGTCTCACTCCCAAATTTTTTTTAAAAAGTCTAGTATGTTGGTGTTGCTTGTTTTTCAAGCATTAAGCATGTGGTTCTATCATGCAATGGGCAAAAATGTATTTTGCCATTGGAATTCCAGGAAACTTATGGCCAACTTTCATTTTTCTAAAACACTGAAGTGTGCTTTAAAATTCTGTGCACAAATGTGTTTGTGTTTGCAAACATGTTCAAAGTAATCTTATTATACTACATAAAAATTATCATTATGGTGTAAAATTATTTGCTTTTTACTTAGATGGCTTACATTTTCTTTTTTGTATGTTTTTTATTGTAAAAATGTTGTACAGAGGGGTTACAGTTAAATGAGCAAGGTAATGAGCACATTTTCTATTGAGCATTGTTGCCTCCTCCTTTGTTTTCCCCCTACCATCCCTTCCTTACCACCTCACCAACTACTCCTTACCCTCCAACCTCCCCACCCCTGCCCAAGTTGTAAAGTTCATTTTCAACATAGTGTTTTTTACATCTCATTGTTACAGTGGGTTAACCTGTATCCTTATTTAAGCATTTTGCTTTTTCCCTTCTATGGCTTACATTTTCAACAGGGGCTCTTTAAAAAAATGTTTTATTAAAACTCTAAAAAATCAATATGGCTTCTTTTTTTTGTCATCATGAGGATTGAACTCTGGGCCTGAACGCTGTTCCTCAGCTCTTCAGCTCAAGGCTAGCACTCTACCACTTGAGCCTCTGTATCACTTTCCGTTTTCTGAGTGGTTTATTGGAGATAAGAGTCTCACAGACCTTCCTGTCTGCGCTGGCTTTGAACCACAATCCACAGATCTCAGCCTCTTGAGTAACTAGGATTACAGGCGTGAGCCACCAACACCCGGCCAATATGACTTCTTAAAGCTGCCCAAGTGTCCTAACCAATCACATTAGAAAGGTAAAACTAAAGTCTAAGAGTTGTTCATGATCAAGGTTTAGAACTTAACTAGTACATTGACAATTTTCTTTCAATTATATGAGAAAAAAACTGAATTCAGAACACATTTTCAAAACATAATGAGTAAATTGAATGAATTGATTATAAATGCATATGCCTCCTTATCTACTTATCCATGCTCATGTGTGACCCAGACTCTAGCGGCCCAAGAAAGAAGAACAGAGGCAACAAAACCACTAAACATGAATGGTAGCATTGCCTTCCCTACAGACCTTTAGCATCCAGTGGCTGAGACAGCTTCTGTGAAAATTCTCAACTGTCACTGGCAGTTAGAGGACAAACATATGACAGTTAGTCAATACTTCTGTACACATTGTATAGCCAGTAAGGTATACAGAAGATGTTCCAGCTGAACAGAGTTGAAAAACATGTCAGTAAACTGTCTTCCCATGTTTCCTCATCCTAAAAATCCTAAAGGCTTTCTGAAGTTTGTTTTGTAATGACTGAATGGAGGACTCTTCAGGTGCACAATGAGAGATCTAGGCTGGGGTGAGTCTTCAGTGGCATTATGTCATGTGCCCATTCCTTCTAGAAGCTGCTTTGAGGAAGACCACAAACTGACCATCCCTACTCTGAGTGGCGGCACAAAGAAAAAAATGTCTCATGAGAATAAAGTGTGTATTGAGCACCAAGACACAACTGAGGAGGGAGACATCATCAGTTTGCTTAGGATCTTCTTATACACAAACAGACTTGCTGAGCATGGACTGGTTTCTCCTGAGGAAAATGCACCTCACAAGAAACTATGTAAGAAGCCATGGTATGCATGACTGACCACTAACGCACCAAGAGGACACTGCCATGGGGAGTGTATATGCTGGCCTGAGACATTTGTTTGCCTATGCTGGCAGGCATGGCTGAGTAGAGATGCAGGCTCTCTGGGAGGCAAGGCTGTCCCAGGGAAGTTAAAATATGAGATTCTCCTATCATTGACTATGGCTATGGATGGCTATGGCCAGTGGGGGGCTGGTTTGGGCAAAAGAGACTCTGCTATTCTTTATTTGGATTCCTCTAGGTAGAAAGATTCCATGTGGTAGTGAGAAAGGTGAGCTGTATGATAGTGGGAATATCAACAGATGGGAAGCTGAAATTCTTCTTTGTGCAAAGTTTTCGTGGAGGGAAAAGACTCATGTTGAAATCCCATTTTATTCCCTAAGATTCATCCAACAGTGCACAGGAGAGTCTGGGCTTCAGGAACTCCACTGTCCTTGAACATTGTGCTTGTGGTTAAATTAAGTCTTGCTTCTGGGTACTGGCTGACTGGATCTTTGACTTTTCTAGTGACTCTACCTGATTTTTGTCTTTACTAGGAAAAAAACTGACAAAAATTATTTATCTGGTTTTTGAAATGACTTTCTGGAGGATGCTCCCCTTTCTTTGGTAGAGACAAGGAAGAGTTCTTCCTTGTGGTTCTTATTTTCCTGAACTGGGCAGGAGGGCTCTGCTCCTGTCATTGTGAGAGCCTCATTCCTGTAGGCTTTGGGCCTCTGACAATTCTCCTTTTCATCAGATCCAGGAAACTTTTGCTATACCATGGGTCCTGGAGATTGGATGTCTCTGCCATTTCCCTGAGATCTTCAGTCCTTTCAGACGTGGATTCAACAAAGATCTCTCCTACTGACACACTGTAGCAGAAGCTTTCTTAGTTTTATGTCTCAGACATGCCCATTACTGGGCTTGTAGATGGTTCTAGTCTACTTCCCTCTGATCCTGGAACACTCTCATGGTGCCAGTTTTCTCAGAAAACAGTCTACCTTTGCCTCTCCAGTTGGAGAGACCTCTGAGGGTTGTTACTATACAGTATTTGTTCCTCTCAGATTTACACTATCTCTTGATTTTTTGTTACTTTTTGAAGAGCTTGTCCCTGGAACTGGACCCCCTTGTCGGGGGATTGGCCTTGAAGTTACTACAGGCCAGGTTCGGGGAAGCTCTCTGTGAAATTGCCATGTGGGGAGCCTTTTACAAAGTGAGGTGAGGTGATTTGTGGGCTTGAAAATCTTTACACACAAGCCCCACTAGTACTTCAGCCAAAGATTCTTTTTTTTTTTTTTTTTGCCGGTCATGGGGCTTGAACTCAGCTTGAGCACTACTCCTCAGCTCTTCAGCTCAAGGTGAGCACTCTATCGCTTGAGCCATAGACCACTTCCGGTTTTTGAGTGGTTTATTGGAGATAAGAGTCTCACAGACTTTCCAGATCTCAGCCTTCTGAGTAACTAGGATTACAGGCATGAGCCACCAGCTCCCGGCTTCAGCCAAAGATTCTTAATATGAGCCTCCTGTAGCTGTTGAATGGCAGCATCAAAGTCGAAAACCTCCGGGGAGGAGTCCTTGCAGGTTTCTCTAGTCTCTAAGGGTGGATCTCTGCCAGTTTCCATGCTAGACTTGGAGTTTTCAAGGGGGGTGGCCAACACATGGTCTGTCATGCCCCTGGAATGGATAACATGCATAGGGACCTTGCTCCCATTTTGTGATGAGATGTGATTTTATGTTTTTTTCATAAGCAGTTCTTGTTTGAATGAATCAGAATACATTTAAATGTATTCTGAACCCTGACTTGATGGCCCATTTCTAATTCTCTCTGTTTTGATACCTGGAAAATTCACAAGGAGCTGTGTCCTTATCCAGATCTTTAACTATCCTGCTCTTACAATGTTCCAGGTCCTTTATGGAGTTCTCCCATCTCTGAAACTTCTGAGCACTCTGAGGTTACCTTTTGTATATTGTGGCAACTATCATCTACAAAGATGGAGTTCTGTAAACACCTATGCTTGTCCTCTGCCTGGTCTGTTAATGGGAATTTCCCATGAAGAGACAGCTGGATCTTGAACTCTGTTCTATAGAGGTACTGCAGGAACCTCTCTTGGAGATGATGTTTTAACTTGTTCTTCAACCCAAAGCTGATGAAATCACCTGGAAGACTGATAAAGCCACTCTTTTGCCAGGGACCCTGCTCTTTAGTGAAAGCTTCGTGAAACTGTTGGACTACAGAGGGTAAAATCCCATAACTTTCCAAGTGCTTCATTACAAGGACATTTCCTACCTGTTCAACAGCAGGTAGACTAGGACATTTTATCTTTTTCTGAGCTGTAAGGCCAGAAAATGTACATGTCCTCATTGGAGGTGAATGGCATGCTAAGGAATGGTGCACAAGACGTAACATGGGCAAGGGCCTCAGACTCAGCCATTGGTGGAGGCTGGGGCCAGGGCAAAGCTGGCATGAAGTGTTGAGATTAGACCAAATGAGGCAGCAAGGCTGGGGTGAAAAGAATTGTGGAGGAACTTTACTCTGAACTTGCATGTATTTAGAGAATCTGTTGAACAAAATAGAGGGTAAGTCTAATGGATGACCAGACATTTTGACAGGAGCCACCAGGGACTCACTGTTCAGAAAGGGAAGGCCCCCCAACACTGTGGGGAAAAATACCTCCTGAGAATCACGAAGCTTCTGTGTTTCCCTTTGTGTTCCAGAAGGGCTGAGGGAAGGCAATGCCTTTTTCACTTCTCAATGACTGCATCCTGTTCCCCAGAGGATTCAGAAGGTTTTCTCTCTCCTGACAAGCTTTCAGCTTTATTCTTTCGAATCACTAACTCTGGCAGTTCCAGGATATCAGGGTTAAGGGCTGGGATAGGAGAAGGCACCCTAGAGCTGTTGGTTGGAGAGCTCTGTGGGGAGGTTTCTGGTGGGACTTCCCTGAGGTTCCATGGAGGAAGACCCAGTTTGAGTCAGGTTGAGTGCAGTGCAGGCCACAGGTTGAGGAGAATGAGAAGGGGGAGAAGAATGTGTGGTGAGCATAATAATGTTCTCTAGAGCAATTAAAGGTTCTAGAGTTTGAGACACATCCTGGGATGAGTGTGACCCAACAGAAACTGAGGAACACATCTGCACTTGTGACAAGGTAGAGGCCAGAGGCTGAGAGAAATCAGGTGGAGGGGTTGGGGAAGTCTTCAGGGACAAAATGCTAGAGAACATGTCCTCCTCAGAGTTCCTCATTGATGGAGGGCTGTAGGAGATTCTGAGTTGAAAACTTCACTTAGAGCATCTCCTATTAACAAGTGCTGAAAGCTGCTGATATCATTGAGCTTCCCTAGGTGGCTGTAGGAGACAGGAGACAAACTTCATTCAAAGCTTGACAAGGGTGATTACCTGCTATCAATGACACCCACTGAACCACACCCAGGTATTTACACAGCCCTTGCTTCTCTACATCCTGTGGCTTCAGCCACATCCCAGCCAACCTGAAGTCTTCCTCAACCCCAAGATAACTCCATTACCTGGAATACAAATGCAAGCACAAGGACATGTTGAAAATCCTTACCTAGTAGTCAAAGGGAAACTAGATCATGCATCTCCTGCTCCTATGTCTTTCCACAAGGGAGAAACAAGACTGTTGTTATGGCAGATGAGAGAGGCCTCTAGATCTTACAGGAGGCTGAATGAGACATCTTTTGTTAGAAAACATGAAAGATTAAACTGGATCTCAAATCTTAGTTCATGGTCACAAGACTGGTGCCAGAGCTGGAAAGGCAAAAGGGAATGTAGTGCTTCTTTATTTACAAGGTACCTCCTGCTCTGCGAACCTCTATAACTTGCAGTACCTCCCTTGTGGATGAGAGAGAAAGGACATGTCATCTCTCCTATTCAGGCTTCTTAGAGAAGTGATTTTGTCTACAATTGGGTCTGGAGGGCAGTCTCTTAAACCCTTCCTGCTTTGTGATGAAATCACAGCCTCATTTTTAAGCACATTTAAGCTCATTTAAGAACCTGAGAAGTGTCTCCAGTCCTGATTTCTTTCCCAGCAGACTCCTTCTAAGGGCTATACAAACTGAAATCCTTGGTGCCCTGGCTCTGGTCCTCAGACACAGAGATCAAATCCCCTTGGGAGAAAGTACAGAGCCTACCTTTCAGAGCACTTTGCTTCTTCCTGCTCTTGATCTGGTCTCTCCAAATGATGCAGAAAGATGAGAAAAGCAGGTCTTGGACCTATTTACTCTTTTCGTTCCCCTAGACAAGTTCAGCTATCTGGTGCACCTGGATAAAATGGTATTTTCATCTGTGTCCTTGCATATTTTTTCCTCATAATTAGTGTGACTGAAAATGATTTGTCTGTTTTTATTAAAAATATATTGGGTTTCTATATGAAACAACACAGATCACCTCAGTACTTTTTCTGTTCTCAGGACCATAGACCCTGATTTCCAGGTGCCTCTCAACTCCCAGGTTGACTTTTGTTGCATGAGTCCAAAGGTGACCTTAGCCTCTGATGGGAAGTTGACATGGGCTTTGAGCAGCCCTTTAATCAACATAACCCTGGGGAAAGTGTGGTATTCAGGGTCCTGGTGTGATGGGGTTCAAGTCATAGAGAGTTCAAGTCCTCAGCTCTCAAGACCCCAGTCATTATGGCTGAGTTTCAGGGTTTGATTTAACCCTGACAACTTGCTGCATACTGCACAGATGTTTTGGGAGCTCGGTATATTACTTTGTGCCACTGTCACCCTGCCCTCTTCTGACAGTGCCTAGGAGAATGTCACTCTCCAGGGCCTTGCTACTTGATTTGGAGAAGTGGAAACATCATGGAGAAAAGATTCAATTTTTTGTAACTTTAATTAGCTGTAAAAGGAGGTACTATTTAACAAACAGTTTATGAATACAATATTATCTTGATCAATGATAACCCTTTCAACATCTGTACCCATCCCTGTCCCACTCACTCCTTCCCCCATTCTCCTTAATTCTTTCTTAATATGTTTTCATTGTAAAAATACTGTATAGAGGGTTACAGTTACATGAGCAAGGTAATGAGTATATTATCTATCAAGCATTTTTGCCTCTTTATTTTTTCCCTACCATTCCTTCCCTCCCGCATCCACAACTACACTCCGTCCACCCCCGCCTAAATTGTAAAGTTCGTTTTCAACATAGTGTCTTGTTACAATGGGCCAACCTATATCCCTATTTAAGCATTTTGTTTTTTCCCTTCCCCTCCCGAAATTAGAGAAGTGTGCATACAAGATGCAGGGCACCAACATCAAATAGGACATGCATTGGAATCTTTCTGTGTTTCCCCTCTTCTCTTCTTCATTGACTACCCCTTCCCCACTGACCCCACTCTACCTCTTTCAAGACCTACTTCATGGTGTTTTATTTTGGTGAAGTTTGATTATGGGTTTTAAAGAATTTATACTTTGAGATCTCCCTGGAATATACTGTATTCCCTTAATACATTTATATACACTTACATACCACCCAACATATTTACTTATGAAGCTAAATCTACCTTCCACATATAAAGGAAACCAGGGATCCTTTATCTCTCTGGGCCTAATTTCATTCACTTAATGTAATTTTTTCCAGTTTTCTCATTATTTGGAAATTATGCAATATCATTCATTCTAATGAATGAGTGAAATTCCATTGTGCATATATATATATATATGCACTATATATATATATATATATATATATATATATCCCCATTTTGGGAGGTCTGTCCCTATGGTTCTTACCTTCCTCAACGTGTTCTTTCTCTCAGGTGTTGGTGAGGATGGATTTCTCTGGAAGCAGAGAAATAGTAGCACGGGGAAGAGCCTCACTTCACACACAATGGCAAGGAACATGTATGCATTCTCAAGGAAGAGGCCAGCGAAGCAACTCCATAGCTAAAGACAAAAAATCATCATGCACAGATTAATAGACACACTGATAGATGCTCTCCTTTCTTTTCCTCCTTCCTTCTCTCCATGTTAGTTAACAGGAAAATGATTGAACTTGTAGGAAACATCATTCTTGACCAAGGTGTGCTAGTAAATCTGTAATAACAAGCTCTCAAGGAGAATACTGTTTATTTTTTGTATGCGTTCACACCTTCACCCAAAATTGAATCTGGTCCTTACTGACCTCAAGGTTAGAAAGTGATGCTCAGTTTCACAAATTGTATGACTTTTCCTCCAAACAGTTAGAAGAGGGGT